AGATCTGGCTGCGCCGTCCTCCTGGCTTTACTGGACACCTTCCCGCCCGGGACCAAGTGGAGCCTGAGACGACCAGTCTTCGGTCTCCGCCAGGCACCCCGTGAGTGGCACGACACTCTTCGTTTGACACTCTCTGACCTTGGCTTTGCACCGTCCACAGCTGACCCGTCGCTGTTTGTTCGTCGTGGGCCCAGACCTTTCTTTGTTCTTGTCTACGTCGACGACCTGGCCTTCGCCACTGCAGACAGGATTGCTCTGGCTAAGGTGAAGTCTGAACTGCAGAAGAGACACATGTGCACTGACCTTGGTGAACTGCGTCGCTACCTTGGCTTGCAGATCACCAGGGACAAAGCCGCTCGCACCATCACTCTGACTCAGTCACACATGGTGCAGCAGATCCTTCAGCGGTTCGGGCTTTAGCACTCCACTACACAGCCTACTCCTCTTTCTGTTGACCACAGGCTCACCGGCCCTTTCCCCGACGAGCCCTTTGAGCCCAGTGGTCCCTACGCAGAGCTGGTGGGCTGCCTCATGTACCTGATGACCTGTACTCGCCCGGACCTTGCCTTCCCTCTCAGCGTCCTTGCTCGCTTTGTTGCGACTGGGAGGCACCGCCCTGTTCACTAGAGGGCTGCTGTGAGGGTGGCAAAGTACCTGGCGACTACATCAGGCATGGGGCTTGTGCTTGGAGGGACACAGCCAGTTGTGCTCACTGGTCACTGCGACTCCTCTTACGCTGACGACGTCGAGACTCAGATGTCTACTCAGGGGTACTGTTTTAGCCTGGGCTCTGGTGCTGTGTCGTGGAGGTCGACTCGGTCCTCGTCTGTTGCGCAGTCTAACGATGAGGCCGAGATCTACGCCGGAGCCATGGCTGCACATGAGTTGCGCTGGTTGACTTTCTTACCCACCGACCTTGGTGAGCGGCCGAGCTCTACACCGAACTTGTTCGCTGGCAACAAGGTCATGATTCTCCTGTGTCGAGAGCCTCGATTGGGGAGCAGAGTGAAGCACATCGACGTCAGGTACTTTCTCCTTCGAGAGTTGCAGCGACGTGGACATGCACATTTGGAGTTCGTGGCCTCGGAGGCCAACACAGCAGACATTTTCACCAAGGCTCTTCCGCCTAGTGACCACCACAGGTTCTGTGTACTGTTAGGCCTTGTTGAGACGGGTTGTAGGGTGTTGTAGTCTCAGTTCTTGTCTCTTGCTTTGCCTATGCCTGTATCATATATATATGTGAACTCTTGAACTGGCCTTGTGGCCTTTTGCTTGTGCTTAGACTGTGTGGTGACTTTGTGATCCACCCTCAGCTTTGTGCTGTTGTGTTTCTTGGACCGGTCTTGTGACCTTGTGTGGCTACTGACGCTTGGCACCCCTCACTTAGTCTATGGGGGTGTGTCAAAATATGGTAGACTGTAGTGAGTTGTGCTACCGTCATCGCCCGGATATAAGACATATATGTCTTATCTCGTACACGGGCAAAAATGCTTGGGTTGTCTTGTATTTGGGACGGTTTAGGGTGTCATATAAGTCTTTTAAATGGACAAAGAACCGTTTAGAAGATACCCCCTAGTTATACAATTGCCCCTAACCCGTACACTGGCTTAACTCATACACTGTCTTCTATAAGAGACACCCGGATAATAGACACCCCCTGTCTTCTATTCAACACTGTCTTATATCCGGGTGATGACGGTATGTGGGGTACACTTGTTAGGGTTAGGTATTTGTACCCCAACACATTTCTATTCACACACCATTCCGCACGTAACTTTGAGACATCACTCTGACCTAGTCACACATGGTGCAGCAGGTCCTTCACTGGTTCGAGCTTCAGTTCTCCACAACACAACCCACTCCTCTTGCCATTGACCACAGACTCACTGCTCCTCTCCCTGACGAGCCTTTTGAGCCTAGTGGTCCCTACGCTGAGCTTGTTGGTTGCCTCATCTACCTGATGATCTGTACTCGTCCGGACCTCGCTTATCCTCTTAGCGTCTTGGCTCACTTTGTTGCGACTGGGAGACCATGTATTGTTCACTGGTGTATGCTTCGTCGTTAAGTCCGCAGTGGCCGGCCACAAGAAAATCGTTGTACACCTTGTGCAAATTCGGGTACAGTTTGGTGCCTGGGTCTAGCAGAGGGAAGGGTTGGTGAGTTAACACGGCTCCGGGGCAGACAATACAGGTGTGTAGCTGTGACATTGCTCCTTACTTCGGCGGTGATGCAGTTGTTGAAGGTCTGGCGCGAGGGATGTCCGAGTCGCTGGTGCCGGAGATCGTCCGTTGCGCGGACTCCAGTGGTGCGGAGATAACGCGCGCGCGCTTTGGCGGGTTCCGCTTCTCTTTCTTCCCCCTCTGTTTCTTCTTTAGTCGTCGTTGAAAGCATTAGCGAGAGGAAGGTGCGGTCAGGGATGACGGAGTGGAATGTTCGTTCTCGGAATGGTGCATGGAACAAGGTCAGGTTCATGTGGCTCGCGGTTGGGGCTGTAGTCGATCTTTCGTGTCTTTTTTTAACTGCAACTGCGCCTAAATCCAGGGTACCATGTCATCATTCAAGCGTTCCATATTATTCAAGGCTAGGATGCAATGCATACTACGCTACACTACACTACTAGTATGCATGAAGAGACATCCCACTACCTGCAGCAGTGACTGCTTCAGCGCAGGGATGCGGCACTGCACTGCTTAGACATGTCATACTGAAACAAGGACTGCAACGACATGCTGGTGTGGTGAGCAGCCAATAGCTCCACAAATCTGGAGAATTTCTATCACCAGAACTTGCTGTCTCTTCTCTTCAAGCCACTCATACTGTAACCCTCACATCCTCATATCCCCCTCAACTGCCTCGTCAGATCTTGGTATAAGTCGGGATGATCACCCGATCCACCCCATGGGCAATGAACCATCGCCCCACGTACAGCCCCGGGATGCGAATAGTGGTCCACTGGTCTGCCTTCAAGTACGGCCCTCTAGCAAACGACACAGCGCTGTTGTTTCCCATCGGCGTCATCTTAAAGAGCGGCTGCCTCAGCTGAGTGCCTATCGCCGTCCGCAGCTTCACCTGCCTCATCTGCGGGAGGGTCATTCGGCGGCGCAGGATGTGGAACGCCGTTATGTTGTACAGTGTGGGGACGCTGCTGCTCATAGCGGGGATTCTCTTAGCGAGGGCTTCTGCCTGCACGTTGTTGGGGATGAGGATGGACGCGTCTCGCAGCGCCGACAGGTCGTACCTCGAGTTCACTGCAGAGGACGAGGGGGGAAGGGGAACGAGGTGGGAGAGAGGTGAGAAGGTCAGTGGGGCAGAGCCGACAGGTCGTACGCAGGGGCAGGGCGGGAGGGGAGGGGGGGGGTGGGGGAGGGAATGGAGGGGGGTGGAGAGGGGTTGGAGAGGGGGAACGAACACAGAACGGGCACCCTCAATACAAAAACAAAAGGTAATTCAAAGTGCGTGGCCAACTAGCCGCTGGTGCAAGGTCTTACGTGCGAGGTTGATGTATTTGGTGGCGTCCTGCGCGTATCGCGAGTACTGAGGGTACCGCTTCACGATGCTCTTCGCCATGCTCTGCAGCTCCGCGCGCAGCTGCGCCTTCGTCGGCGGAGGCGGCTGAGCGCAGCTCGTCGGAGCGCACGCCGCCGCCACGCACATCACTGCCACCAGGAGCAAGCTGCCTCCGAGTCGCGCCGCCATCTCCGGAAATTTCTTCGAGTGTCGAACGCTTTTTCAGGTCTTCCGGAGGGTTGCTACGAGCTTCAGACACGTAACTGGGCCTTGCGGATGGTTTCGCCCTTGAGAGTTAAGGGTGTACACGCTGATCGTTGAGTGTGAGTTGCGGATCGTTGAGGATGATCCTGAGAACCTGAGCTGGATGGTATTATCGTCGTTGGATTAGTTCGTCTTGCTGATAGCTAGGTCGTCGTCGTATTAGGTTGCTGCTAAACGGTTGTGATGTATGTCGGTTCTAACCAAGCCGTATTTAATAGGTACATGAGAGGTGTCATGCTGGCCGGAGCGCTCCTGGCCGGATCGCTCCTGGCCAGATAGACCCTTCACAGCTCGCCCGTTCCATGTAACGCCCAAAGGGGCACACCGCGACGACGACTCGCCGCCATGGACACGCGAGGAAGCTCAGTCGCCGCCAGCAGCGGTGACATGCGGGGAACCGCTGCGCCATTGCCGCCATATAGCCGCCGTCCCACGCCGATTCGGCGCGGAACGGCTGGCTAGACAACGCGTCCGCGTATGGAGCGATGATGATAGGAAGAATCGCAAACCGTCCTTTTATTACATTTCATCCCATGAGAATAGTGACGTGCGATGTTAGCGGGTGTGAATGTTCCTGCTTGCCAGCATCACTAGTCGAGAGCATATGTGAAAGTTCCATTACTGCGGTAACGAAGGGTTTAAATACGTTCCAAAGCGTTATGAAAGGGTTAAGAAAGCTAACCCAGCGTCTTATCTTCGTGAGCCGATTGCGATGCTAGGATGACCCTTTGGTTGCGTTTGACGCGTGTGCGACTACGCCTGTGCGACTGTGCGTGTACGAGGATCCTGTGCGACGAAGCCTGTGCGGTTACGCGTGTACGACGACCCCTTGCGAAACAGTGATTCGGTGCCATGAGGTAGGGGGGATAGTTCGTCGGACAAATGATGTACCGTATGGAGGTACCGGGTGTACTCACAAGTTCATAGTGTTCCCTTTTATTTTCTTCCCATACCAAGTGCGCAGCAACATAGGGCATGTCATGCATTTTCTAATTAGCAACCACGGAAGGAGGATATCTATGCTATTTACTTGTGTATGGAACATTATGCAATTGTTGACGGTGTTTATTCAACATGCACTTTAGTGTAGTCGAACAATGACTACAATTTGGAATGTTCCTACGCATGCAATGGAATGTCGGAAAATTAGTAATATTGGGAACGTTTTACATTGTGAGTATCTAACAGCACGTGAAGTTGTTACAAACTAGTTCACATATGTATGTTGTTTAGTAATAATAACGTCTCCTGCCAAACTTGTGATACTTGGGCAGACCAAAGTCCGGGTAAGCTGGGGCAGCAGCAGGTGCAGCAGGTGGTGCAACAAGCGGAAGCGTTTTCTTCTTCTCCAGCATCATCTTGAACGTCTCCTCTGCCTCTACCTGCTTCCGAACGTCCGCTCCTGCTCCGAGCCTCGCCATCCGGTCCGGGTGATACCGAAGCAGCGCCTTCTTGAAAGATGCTTCAACCTGGCAAGCAGGAGGAGTGGGCAACAGGACAAGCAAGCAACGAGTCAGTTGAACGAGTCAGGTGGCAGTTTCTATAGCAACAATCACACGGTTCCACACGATTATCGAGCGAGGTATTGGGTGAAATATCATTAAAACGATCGAGGAAAGAGCAGTGCGAAAAAAAAACCAAGTGTATCTCTCACCTGCTGAGTCGATGGTTGTGGCATGCCGTCCACTTTGATCCCGATTTTATCAAGGACTGACGCAAAGTCACGGCACCCTGCCAGGCGCTTGACAAGGTCAGCGTGGACTGACGCTCTCAGCTGGTCCTTGAGACCAGATGCCCGCTCCACCTGAGGAGAAAAAGAGGGGAAAGAAGAGAGGCAGGAGTGGAGCCAAAAAAGGAGAAGGAGCACTGAAGACACCCTGCCAGGCGCTTGGCAAGGTCAGCATGAACCGATTCTCTCAGCTGCTCCTTTAGACCAGATGCTCCGCTCGACCTGAGGAGAAAAAGAGGGGCAGAAGAGAGGCAGGCGAAGAGGCAAGCATGGGAAGGAGCAGACACAACAGCCAGCCAGGTGCTGCAAAAGATCATTTTGCACCAATACTCTCAGCTGCTGCTCAATGCTTGCTCCGCTCTCATGAAGAGAGAAAGAGGGACGAGAAAGACTTAAGGGGTGCAGTGGCAGAAGTGGCATGGTAACCAGATAGAGGCAAGTGGAAAGTGGAAACACAGAGGGTCGGCAAGGTGATGAATGGGCAGGGTTATCCCTGATGTTTGACAAACCAAGGATGATGAAGAATGAAGGATGCCAAGCATCATGCAGAATGTAGACACTGCTTTTCGTAACCCCCCCACCCACCTGCTCCTGCTGCTGTCGAACCTCCTCCACCCGCTTCTGCTGCCGAGCCTGCATCCGTTCCAGCCTCTCACGTTCGGCACGCTCAGCCCTCCTCCTTCTCTTCTCAGCCTGAGCCTCCTCCGCCTGCTGCTGCAGCACCTTCTGTCGCTCCCTCCACTCCTCGTCCTCCATACTCTGAAACCCCTCACTCTGCCGCATCGCCTCTCTCCCCATCTCCACTGCTGCTCCTGCCAAGGTTGCACCTGTCATTGCTTCTTCTGTTGTTGCCTGCTCCTGCGATTTCTCCTCCTGCCATTGTTGCTCCCACTGCCCCATTGTACCCCTCTTTCCTTCCCTCCTCTTCCCTCTCATATTTTCCTCCCCCTGCCTTCTCCTCTCTCTCCTCTTCTTCCTCCCCGCCTTCCCTCACTCCCCCCCACTTCGCATGACTCCCTCGTGCACCATCTCCTTTATCCCCTGCCTCAGCCTCCCTCCCTCTCTTCCCTATATTACGTTTCTCACCATTCAACCCATCACCCTTCATTCCAACATCTCTCCTTTGCTTCTTCAATGCTGTATGCCCTCCATCCGACCTTTCTTTTTGCTTTGAATTCCCCCCTTTGAACACCCTCTCCCCCCTCGACCTTTTCTCTCCACTCAAACTCCCCTGCCGTTGCCTCTCTTCCTCTGCTGCTCCTGCCGTTGTGTCTCTCTCTCTTTCCGCAGCCAGATTTAATGCTGCTGCTTCTTCAAACCCACTCCCATCTGCTGTTCCTGCCCCTCTTCTGTCCGCTGCTCCTGTCGTATCTGCAGCTTCTCCTGCTGCTGTCCTTCTCTCTCTTCCTACGGCGGCACCCGTGCTTGTGCCTGCTTTCCCTCCGCTCATCTCTCCTGCTGCGACTTCCGTTGACGTAGTTGCAGCTTTTTGTCATTTGTGTTTCCCTAAGAACATTTCCTTCGGTCCTTCTGTCAGCCGTTTCTGCTGCTCCTGCTGCTGCGTCTACTCCTCCTGCTCCTCCTTCTCCTGCACCTCCTGTTGCTCTTTGTGATCCCCTAACTGCTGCTGCGTCTGCACCTGCCTCTCCCCTCTCACCTGCCAATATCCCCACTCCAAGGGTCCCTTCACCAGAAGCCCGCTGGGCTGCAGACGCTCTGACAACCCGAGCCTCGAAGCTCCCTTCTGACCCGCTGCTGGCTTTCCTACCTGCAACATCCCCACCACTCCCCTTACCTTCTACAGCACCCCCACCAATCCCAACGCCCCCACCAGGCCCACCATTCCTCCCACCTGCTGCAGCAGTGGACCGACAATCACTAGCCTCCCCCATGCTTGCCCTGGCCTTAGCAGTGGATGCGTCTGACTCATCGCCGCTTGAAGCTGAGTCACCGTGACTAGGATCCGAGTCATCAACATCAACTGCGTCGAACCTTCCATGCCCGCCCTTCCAAGCCCCAGGCCCTACTCCCCCTCCTTCCCGAACCCCATGCACTCTCTGCTCTGCTGTCTGCTCTGCTCTCTGCTCTGCTCTCTGCTCTGCTCTCTGCTCTGCTCTCTGCTCTGCTCTCTGCTCTGCTCTCTTCTCTGCTCTCTTCTCTGCTCTCTGTTCTGCTCTCTGCTCTGCTCTCTGCTCTGCTCTCTTCTCTGCTCTCTTCTCTGCTCTCTGCTCTGCTCTCTGCTCTGCTCTCTGCTCTGCTCTCTGCTCTGCTCTCTGCTCTGCTCTCTGCTCTGCTCTCTGCTCTGCTCTCTGCTCTGCTCTCTGCTCTGCTCTCTGCTCTGCTCTCTGCTCTGCTCTCTGCTCTGCTCTCTGCTCTGCTATCTGCTCTGATCTCTGCTCTGCTCTCTGCTCTGCTCTCTGCTCTGCTCTCTGCTCTGCTCTCTGCTCTGCTCTCTGCTCTGCTCTCTGCTCTGCTCTCTGCTCTGCTCTCTGCTCTGCTCCATAGCTGTAGCTTTGACTCCATTACCCCCATTGACTCCCTTGACCCCTCTCACTCCCGTGAATTCCTTGACTCCTAACGAAGCAGCACCAAACGAAGCAGCACCAAACGAAGCACCTCCTAACAAGGCAGCACCAAACGAGGCAGCACCAAACGAGGCAATATCTGCGCTGCTGTACTGCTAGCAGCGTGCTCGTCTTGACTGCTGCCCTCGTCGCTGCTAAGGCTCTCAGCTTCCACCCACTGTTGCTGCTGTTGCTGCTGCTGCTGCTGCTGCTGCTGCTGCTGCTGCTGCTGCTGCTGCTGCTGCTGCTGCTGCTGCTGGTAGTGCTGCTGCTGCTGCTGCTGCTGTTGGTTGTGCTGCTGCTGCTGCTTCTGGTAATGCTGCTGCTGCTGCTGCTGCCGTTGTTGTTGCTGCTGCAGTTGCTGCTGCCCCTGCGGTTGCTGCTGCTGCTGCTGCTGCTGCTGCTGCTGCTGCTGCTGCTGCTGCTGCTGCTGCTGCTGCGCTGCTGCTGCTGCTGCTGCTTGCGCTGCAGCCCCTGCTGCTGTTGCTGCCCTTGCTGCTGCTGCTGCTGCTGCTGCTGCTGCTGCTGCTGCTGCTGCAGCCCCTCCTGCTGATGCCGTCGTTGCTGCTCCATGTGCCACTGCGCTTGGCGCTTGGCTTGCCTCGCCTTAGCAGCAGCCTCCCACACTCGCCTCATCTCCTCTGCTTCACCAACCACCAAATCCTCCTCCTCTTCCTTCTCTTCTTTCCCACCCGCACCCAGGACAGCAGCAGCACCTGCACCACCACCAGCACCAGCAGCACCAACAGCGGCATCAGCAGCACCATCACCAGCAGCAGCCTCCCACACTAGCCTCATCTCCTCCGCATTATCAACCACCAAATCCTCCTCCTCCTCTTCCTCCTCCCTCTCTTCCTCCTCCTCTTCCCCATACTCATTCCTCTTCCTCCTCTTCTTCCCCACCCGCACCCGGTTTAACAGCAGCATCAGCAGCAGAACCGGCAGCAGCGGCACCAACTGTGGTAGCCCCAGCAGCTGCAGCAGCAGCACGCAGAGCAGCAGCGTTGGCAGCAGCAGCAGCCTCCCACATGCGCCTCATATCGTCTGCATCGCCACACACCAAGTCATCATCATCGTCCTCTGCTTCCTCTGCGGCAGCAGCAGGAGCAGCAGCATAAGCAGGAGGAGGAAGAGGAGGAGGAGAATCAGCAGCCTCCCACATACGCCTCATGTCGTCTGCATCGCCACACACCAAGTCATCATCATCATCCTCCTCTGCTTCCTCTGACTCCTCTGCAGCAGCAACAGCAGCAGTGGCAGCATCAGCATCAGTGGCAGCAAAAGCAACAACATCAGCATCAGCAGCAGCATTGAGATCAGCAGCCTTCCACATGCGTCTCATGTCCTCTGCATCACCACACACCAAGTCATCCTCTTCCTCCTCTGCTTCCTCTGCAACAGCAGCAGCAGCAGTGGCAGCAGCAGCATCAGCATCAGCAGCAGCAGTGGCAGCAGCAGCGTCAGCAGCAACATCACCAGCAGCATTAAGATCAGCAGCTTCCCACATGCATCTCATGTCATCTGCATCACCACACACCAAGTCATCATCTTCCTCCTCTGCTTCCTCTGCAGCAGCAGCAGAAGCAGCAACAGCAGAAGCAGAAGCTGCAGGATCAGCAGCAGCAGCAGCAGCAGAAGCAGGAGGAGGAGGAGGAGCATCAGCAGCCTCCCACATGCGTCTCGTGTTTTCTGCGTCAGCACACACCAAATCATCATCTAAACCATCGTCCTCCTCTCTCTGCTCTTCCTTCTCCTCCTCTGTTTCCTCTTCCTCCTTCTCCTTCCCCTCCTCTACCTTACCCCCTTCATCCTCGTTTTCCTCCTCCCTTTCTTCCTCCGCCTCCCTCTTCCTGTTCCTCTGTCTCGTATTCCCCATCTACCCCCCCATACGCCATGGCAAGCAGAGAAGCAAAACAGGAATCCGCACCACTTGTGTCGTTTTCATCCCCACCAACGACATTAGTAGCACCTTCAATATTGTCATCCTCCATATTGTCACCACCATCGTTTGCACCCTCGCCACCTCCTTCCCGGAAGCTGCCTTCACCCTGGCCTTGTGCCGCTGGTCCCAGGAACGTTCTCACTCCTGTTCTCCTGCTTGCTACTAGGGACGCTGGAGCTGCAATATGTTCTCCTGTCGTTGCAGCGTCCAGCAGTATATTTTTGAGCCACCTCACCAGTTGTCACTCCTGCCCCCCTGTTTGTCGTTAGGGACGCTGGAGCTGCTATATGTTCACCTGTCGTTGCAGCGTTGGCAGTAGGATCAGGAGCAACCCAGAAGCATGATACGCAGCAGAACCAGCAGCAGCATAAGGAGCAGCAGCATCGACAACAACCTCAGGGGCAGCAGGATAAGCAACAGCATCGGGAGCAGCAGCACAAGCAGCAGCAGCAGCAGGATCAGCAGCAGCAGCATTCGCAGCAGAATCAGCAACAGCAGCAGAATCAATAGCAGGATCAGCAGCAGCAGGATTAGTAGCAGCATCAGCAGCAGCATCAGCAGCAGCATCAGCACTAGCATCAGCACTAGCATCAGCAGTAGCAGCAGTAGTGGTAGCAGCACGCAGGGCAGCAGACTCCCACATGCGCCTCATGTCCTCTGCATCGCCACAGACCAAATCAGACGCATCCTCTGCTCCCATGGCTTCCTCTGCTCTCTCTGATTTCTCTGCTTCCTTCCTTTTCCTCTTCCTTCTCCTCCTCATTCTCCTTTTCCTTCTCCTCCTCTTTCTCCTCCTCTCCCTTCTCTTCCTCTTTCTCCTCCTCCATCTCCTCATCTCCGTCGTCCACCCCCCCATAAGCCATGGCCAGAGCAGCAGCTAAACAAGCAGCAGCACTCGTGTCTTTATCATTCTTATGCCGACTAACAAGATGGGCAACACCTTCGATATTGTCACGTTCAATACTGCCACCTCTCACGTTGTCCCCCTCCATATTGTCACCTTCATCAATTGCATCACTTTCACCCCCTTCTCTTCCCCCATCCCCTTCCCTCAACCCATTTGTCATTACCGGGGCTGCGGCCAGTACTGTTGGTGCTGTTGTAACTGTTGCTGCCTGTAAGTGGTGCTGCTGTAACTGGCGCTGCTGTAACTGGTGCTGCTGTAAACTGGTGCCTGCTGTAACTGGTGCTGCTGTAACTGGTGCTGCTGTAACTGCTGCTGTAACTGGTGCTGTAACTGGTGCTGCTGTAACTGGTGCTGTAACTGGTCCTCCTTCTCCTCCTCCTTTCTCCTCCACCTCCTCCTCCTCCTCCAATTGTTTCCACATCGTCTCCCCCCCCTGCTCCTGTTGCCTCTGTCCAATCAGCTTCATGCTCCTGGTGCTGCTTAAAGTCATCAAGAATCTGAGCAGCATCCGTCCCATTCCTTGCCAGAAACCCCCTCGTTTCCACTCATATCAGCATCATTTCCCACCCCTGTCATCCTCTCCTCATTCTGCAACCCTTCGCAGCTCATTCCCAAATTCCAATCATTCTCGAACCTTCTAGAAGCCCAGGCACCCTTGTCTACGCTAGCTGCTCCATCCAAACAATCACGTCCGTCCATTTCACTGAATCTTAACCGCTCCCGCTCCTCTGCGTGAACCTGAAATCTCCCACCGAGCTCCTCTGCTAGAACTGAGATCCTGGCCGTTGGATCGGAACAGATTCCTCCTGCTAATTGCCAGTCAGATTATCTGCACCCCCTCTGTGCATCCCCCTTGTCGATCCAGATTCACCTTCCTTTCAGCTGACTCGTCTGTTTCCGCCTCGTTATACGCACATCCCTCATGCTGCCTGAGAGCTGCTTCGCTATAAGCACCTTCGTTCTCGCGTGTAATTACTCCATCATGAGCTTCTGAAACAGCACGTCTGTCCCAACAATCATGCTGCACTGCTTCCTGAGAGCTTCGACCGTCTAAGCGACTGCTGCTTGCTGCTTCGGGCGAGCTTCGATCATCCAAGCATCTGTCGCGTGTTGTTGCTTGCACCAAGCTTCCAGGATCCAAGCGTCTGCTCCTTGCTACTGGCTGCGACGTTCGAGCATCCAAACCAGTCCCTAAACTACATCCTAAATGAGGTCCTACACTCGGTTCTAAACTAGGTCCTAAACCGGTCAGTATACTACCAGCTACAGTTGTAGGCTGACGAGCTGGATCTGTTTTTTGAGAATTCACAAAAGCCAGACGAGCTGGAACCTCTCGATTTGAAGTCTCTGGAACTGCAGTTGGACCGCCGAGTGCCGTGCGTGAGGTGCACACGCCGTGCGCGATGGCAGCAGTGACGGACGTGGTCGGCATACGTGTATTAAGATCGTCCTTACGTGTATTAGGATCACTGTCAAGCATCACAAGATCGTCATCATCATCGTCCCCTCCTCTTCCACTTCATACTCCTCGTATCCCTCCTCCTCTTCCTCCTCCACTTCATCCTCGTCAATATCGTATTGTTACTATAAGAGGGTTACAGTCGCGATTCCTGTCAGCGGGGCCGTTAGTCGCCGTCACTTCTTCGTCGAAGTCGTCGTCGCATACTATCACTTCCACCCCCTCGGGTATCCGAGACTTCACGGAGTCGCAAGCCATCAGTGCGAAAAACGAATCTGAATTTTCGAACTTTCACAGAAGAACAGGTGCGTCTTGTTAACTCGAATATTATATTAAATAAGTGCAGTAGCAACAAGCCTCGATGGCGCAGTCGGTAGCGCGTAGGTCTCATAGCAACCCGACTCCCACGCAAGGGACGGAGCCATCCTAAGGTCGTGAGTTCGATCCTCACTCGGGGCAGAACGTTTTGCATCATTGAAGGATTCGTTGTGCGGCTCATCCATCTCCATCATTATGCACAGCAAGATCTAACCATTCCTTTTTGGCCTTCTAAATATAATGTTCGAAAAACAAGCAATTGCGCAGATATCACCATAGGTTTTATTTTCATGTTTGCTAACCAGCAAAACGCATGAGGTACCGTATGTTGTGAGGACATTGATATTGAACTTGGTATGCTGAAAGGATGAATAAGGTACACTCTGAATTGAGAGTACACCCTATACCTGCATCCACCAGCCCGCCTGACCTTCCCGCACCTCGTAGCACCGAATGACTGGGTCGCAACGAAGTCGTCGCGTAATCGTACAACCTTTGTCGCACTGGCGTCGTCGCACACGCGTCCAAACGGAACTGGGCTTCATCCCAGCCCAGCAATCGGCCCACGACACGAACCCTCGGAAGCATTCCCTTGCTCTGGAGACCCTACGTAAACCGAAAACTGTAGCTTCAAAACGTTCTGGAACGTGTCTAAAACCTTTTGAACCGCAATCATGGAACTTTCACATGCACTCACAACCACCACTCCTGTTGTCTAGGAACATTCAGACACCTGCTCACACGCGTATCTCATCTCTAAGATCTCGGGAAGATCACGTTGTAGAATAAAAGGCGGTTCGCGTCTCTTCCTGTCAATGGCGCAGCGGTCTCCTCGCATATCGCAGCGGTCTCCTCGCATATCGCAGCGGTCTCCTCGCATATCGCCGCGGTTTCCTCGCATATCGCCGCGGCACGGCTGTTGGCGGCGACTCAGCTTCCTCGCGTGTTCGTTGCAGCTTTGGGCGTTCCATGGACCGGGGGAACTGCGAGGGTCTATCTGGTCTGGAGCGATCCGGCCAGCATGCCATACCTCTCGTGTGCCTATTTATACAGCTTTGTTAGAACCAACATACATCACAACCCTTTAGCAGCAAACCTAATACGACGACGACCTAGCTTTCAGCACAACGCACAAATACAACGACGACCTAGCTTTCAGCACAACGCACAAATACAACGACGACCTAGCTTTCAGCACAACGCACAAATACAACGACGACCTAGCTTTCAGCACAACGCACAAATACAACGACGATACTACCAGCTGTTAGAGCGCCTCATAAATTCTAACGCCAGCCCATACCATCCAGCTCAGGATCGTCCTCTTTAGTCTCTCACAACTCAACGATCAGCGAGTACACCCCTAGCTCTCAGGGGCGAAAACCATCCGCAAGGCCCAGTCGCGTGTCTGAAGCTCGTAGCAATTACCAGAGATGGCGGCGCGATTCGGAGGTGGCTTGCTATTCGTAGCAGTCATGTGCGTGGCAGCGGCGTGCGTTCCGACAAGCTGCGCGCAGCCTCCTCCGCCGACGAAGGCGCAGCTGCGATACGCGCAGGACGCCACCAAATACATCAACCTCGCACGTAAGGCCTTGGAGCAGCGACTACGTGGCAGTTATTCTGAATCACCTGCCTTTTTTGGGGTGCTTTGGTAACAATGTTGCCTGTTCCGTGTTCGTTCCCTGGTGGACTAGACCTAGCTGACCACATTCCCGCCTCCCACCGAAATTCTCCTTTTTGTTTCTGAAATCAATCACTGCTTTTTCCTTCTCCCCTTTTTTCCCCCTTTCCATCCCCTCTTCAACCCCCTCCTTTCCCTTCCCCTCCCCCCACTCCCCCTTGCTTTTCCCCTGCAGTGAATTACAAGTACGACCTGTCGGCGCTGCGAGACGCGTCCATCCTCATCCCCAACAACGTGCAGGCAGACGCCCTCGCTAAGAGAAGCCCCGCTAAAGAGCAGCAGCGTCCCCCCACACTGTACAACATAACGGCGTTCCACATCCTGCGCCGCCGAATGACCCTCCCGCAGATGAGGCAGGTGAAGCTGCGGACGGCAATAGGCACTCAGCTCAGGCAGCCGCTGTTCAAGATGACGCCGATGGGAAACAACAGCGCTGTGTCGTTTGCTAAAGGGCCGTACTTGAAGGCAGACCAGTGGACCACCATTCGCATCCCGGGGCTGTATGTGGGGCGATGGTTCATTGCCCATGGGGTGGATCGGGTGATCATCCCGACTCACACCAAGATATGATGAGGTAGTGTAGGAGGAAAGGAGGGAGGAAGAGGTTTATGATTGGCTTGAAGGGAAGCCGTAGTCCTTGGTGATCAAGAACTTCAGAGTAGTGTACAGAAAGGTTGGTTGCCCTTGAAGCAAGATCTTGACACAGTCTTGTCAAGCGTCATCCCAATGCAGTGCTACTTTGTTGGTGCCATGTAGTGAAACAAATACACCCTACTACCATTGATATATCAAAACAAAATGCACAAGTCTCTACTGGATTGCCACCTTACCTCACTACCATACGAGGACGCAACTAACTAATGAGTGTATACAGCACACTGTTACACTTGCAAATCCACTGTCCAAGGCATACCCATCAGCGACGGGTGTGAGCGGGAACGACGAGGGGACCTGCTAACACTTCGGCTCCTGCTGCGGCTTCTGCTGGGAGTGCGGCTGCGACCGCGGCGAGGTGGTGAACGGCTGCAAACAAACACACACAATGCCAGCACATTGCGTAGGGGGGTGAACAGAAGCACACCCACATGTGCGCATAAGCAATTTGGCTCCATCCTTAAAGCTTGCGTTGGACAAAGGTACACATGTCAGCATCTTAACACACACCTTCCGTAGCGCCCATATTCTGGGCTGCCCCTGCGCCTGCCGTAGTCAGGGCTGCCTCGGCGAGCAGGCCTGTCATCATCAAAGCTGTCCTCCCTGGCAGCAAATTTCTACAGTAATTTGACGACCATCGACCGAGCTGCACCACAAGAATTGTGAAAGGTAAGTACGGTATTGGCAACAAAGTGCAGACCATGAGTATGAACCACATGGAGCAGCAATTGATTTCTGCAGGAATATGTTGATACATACCTTCCATCAGTTCCTTTAACTGCTGCTTCAGCCTCCTCAATCGTCTCATATTGCACAAACGCAAAGTTCTGGCGAATCTGGACCCGAACCAGTTTGCCATATGATTCGAAGTGCCTCTCCAAGTCGCGTGTTCGGGTATTAATGGGGTCAAAATTCACAACGAATAAAGTTTTTGAAGGCTTGGAGTTCCTGCGCTCTACCTCCCTTTGCTTCACTGGGCCTTCACCCTGTGAAGAAAAAACGACAACAGTCCATATTTAAACTTCTAGAAAAGTGAACAAAAAAAGGA